AGAGTATTCTTGGTTCGAGGCCCTTCTGTTTCATTGCATTGAATACATCATGCCACTCCCTTCTGGCCTACAAAGTTTTTGCTGAGAAATCTGATGATAGCCTGATAGGTTTTCCTTTGTATGTGATCTTTTATCTCTCTCTGGCTGCTTTTAATACTCTGTCCTTGTCCTTGATCTTTGCCATTTTAATTATTATATGTCTTGGTGTTGTCTTCCTTGGGTCCCTTGTGTTGGGAGATCTGTGCACTTCCACAAAAAGTATTAGGGTCAATTCTTGGAAGCAGATGGAAAGAGTATGAGAAAAGTAGGAGGAGCAGGTAGGTTTTGCAGTTTTTCAGTGTTTAGTTTTTACTGCTTGTAGGGAAAATGGAAGTTCCTATGGCCGGGATCCTCACCTGACCCTAATCCACTTGATGATGTAATTGGCTTACTGCACAGGGTCCTGCTTACACACCCATTGGCAATGAGCCATTATTGTCAGCGTTACTATATAAAGAGCTCCACCCATGCTCTGCCTGGAGACAGTGACAGAGACAGATTGCTAACTTGCCAGAGGCAGACATCATTCCAGCAATCAACCTGCCACCATGAGAATAAAGCTTGGTATAAACCCTTTATCCCTAATGTCTGATTGTTGTTATTCATCTCACGGAATCCAGAGTGAACTTGCCTGGGGGCATTCCCCCTCAGGAGAGACACTGCTGTTTTAGTCAAACTATGTAAATATGTTGCTTTGATAAAAATAAAAATGAATTTTAAAAAAATAATTCATGTGTATAATATTGGATATCTTTATATACTAGGATTAACAGAAAGTTTTCCAATTAACCAAAACTTACTTTAGAAAACCAATTGATGTAACTCCTACAAATGTACCACCAAAATTTTCACTTCTTAAAAGTTTACAATAAACATTTATTATGTCCCTGACACATTCTAGTCCTAAAGACATTTGTTGAATTGAATTGAGGATGGCTGAAAGAAATACAAAGAAGCTCTTTTGTGCAATCAAGGTCACAGCACAAAAGAAAAAACATCTTCACCTAGGGTGGGTAAGTTGAATTTGGTGAAGGGTATGGGCAAGGTTAAGGAAACTAACAAGGGACAGTCCAGTACCTTGGAGTTAGCAAACTTAAAACTGTTACCACCCCAGACTTACAATGACAAAGGGAAAGAGCAGTTACCAGATAGTGGGAAGAGTCATAGCTGCGGAAGAGAGGCCACCAACAGGGACTGTGATCTTCCTTACGGGATATAGCCACTGCCAACCCATGGTGCTACAAGGAAGGTAAGAGATAACATTCTGACCTCACACTCTCAGATATTCATCCAGTGCCTTCCATAAGCTAATCCAACAGGAAGCCAGAATGCAAGGGAGCCCAGTAAATGTTCACAATAGGGGTTAGCCTCCTGCAGCCCAGAGGCTTTCTGAGGAATGAAGAGCTATAGGCACAGATTGAGAATATCCATCACAAGGATGATGCTATTTTGTTTTCATTTTTGTTTTTAATTTACTTTACTTTCCTACTGACCCTTATAAAACAAGCCCTCAATTTTTCAATCTGTTGAATAAATATATTTAACATAATAATGCATGGATGTTATACTGCTCTTTACAATTTACTAAGCACTTTCACATTAATTATTTTTATATCATCTTCAAAACAGCCATATGCAATGGAAGGGCAAGGGTTATACAGATTTAACAGGTAAGGACCTTTAAAAAGTCAAGGTATTTTGCCCAGAGTCATAAAGCTAGCAAGTGGCAGAGCTCAAACAAGAAGGCATGTTCCCTAACACCGCAGCTAAAGCTCTTTCCACCATATAAGGCTGTCATGCTATTTATTCACAGTAGGAGTGCAAAATTGATGTCCCTGTGAAAAAATAATTAACTAGCTTTGTTCTAGGCACAGCACAGAACACAGAAGCAGTCAACAAACAAGACACAAGACACAAGGGGAAATGAAGCAAACTAACCCATTCCATTCTCAGGAAACCACAAGCAATGCCAGAGACCAAAATAACTGAGTTATCAATCACATGTTACACATCATTAGAAAGAAGGTATTCAGTAGGGCAAGAAAAGAGTTCAAAAGAGTAATAAAAATTCAGGGAAAAGCAGAAACATATTTAAAGACTTTGTTTTGGAATGCTGGGGTAAGTGGAAGGGAATCACCATCCCTTCAAAATCCCCATGCCACAAAGAGATCAGGGCCCCAGAAATCAGAGGGATGACCTTTCTGCTTCTCTTCTCATTTCCAACTCCACCTCTGCATACACATACATCTTTTGTGAGCTTACAGAAGCAGCCACAAATGACTTTTCACCAAACACAGAAGTAATAGGTAGTCTGGCAAAAGAGCCCATTTTCAATATAATGAGAACTCTGTACCTTTTATAATCTACAGGAAAGTGTTCAGATACTTAACAGAAGAAAGTCATGAATGGTATTTTCATTGTAAACCTCAAAACATTCCTCATTTCTTCCAAATTGAAGTCCCTAGTTTGTAAACTACTCTATTGGTTATGGTTCTGTGGCAGCAAGCAGCAGAACCCAATTGGCCAATTTAAGAAGGATTATTAGAAGGAAATTGAAGGTTCAGAGAATCCATGGCCGACTGAGAGATAAGGCTTGGAGACCATCAGTGGCCAAGACAGACATGGAGGATAGGAAATGGGAACTGCTACAGTAGTCTCATAGCAGGTATTAACAGCCAAATGCCCACTGGGACAAAGGAGAAGCCCTTAGCTCAAAATTAAATTTCACAGGAGCACCCACTTAACCAAGCTTGTAGTTGCACCCAGCCCTAGGCTAAGTGTAGGCCCCTAAGGTCCCTGGTTACAGTTTCACAAGTGTAATTACCTCAAAAGGAAATAGAGGTGCTGTTAGGAAGGCAAAACAAATACATTAAAAAAAAAAAAGGTGGGGGAGGGTGTAGGGGGTTTACTCCACACTTAAACAGTCTTTCTTCAAAAATTCCTTAAGAATCTAACTAGACAGCAGTAGATCACTAATTTCTTAAGACTATATTAATTAGTAACTGCCCACGCACAGCCAAAGAGAGCATTCACCCAGGTTCTCATGAAATTTCCACCTGACAATGTTTTACTTCCAGACACCTCGCTTCTATTACCTGAAAGTTATCTTTTCATTTGATTCCTCAAAACAAAGCAGAATTTGCCCTTCTTCGGTAACATTTCCATTTTGGAAACATTACCATGAAGCTTCCAAAAAAAACAGACTTCTCAAAATATCTAATGATAATTCATAAGGATGCTAATACTGATGATGATGATGATGATGACAGCAATACACACAGTAGCCGCAGCCAATAACATCTACTGAGTACTTATCATGGCCCAGGAATTGTTCTAAGCCCGTGACACATCCCGATTCATTTAATCCTCACAATAACCTTATGAAGAAAACAATATTATTATAATCCCTATTTCAAAACTAGGAAACTGAGTCACAGAAGAGGTAAATAACTTCTCCGGACTAATAGCTAATAAGCCAAATCAGGATTAAATCCATGTCTGACTCCATGTCTGACTTCAGATGTTAATACCATCTGAAGAAAGGATTTTCATTCAGAATAGAGGAAATGGACTATACCAGTATGAAAACATTCTCCAAGAGGAATGTGAACACCATAACTATACCTAAAAATCACAAGGTTCTAAAGATTGCTACACGATCACTAACTATAATAATTGAGAATTTACTTTTGAAAGCTATCAAGTACTGCTTTATTCCAAGCTGTGGCTCAATGGTCAGAGATATATAAGTTATATAGCTGAAAATAAGAATTATCTACTTCTTAGGATAGGCTTTTCTTCACTAGTGGCCAACCATTACAGAAAAATTCCAATCCAACCAGCTTTCATGCACCAGAGTTTAGTCATTCCAAAGCAAATCTTCAAAATGGTGTTTTTACAGCTAGTGATCAGATTATTCAAAACAAGTTTTCTCCAATTTCCCTGTAAAATTCTTTTTCACTCTCAAAATAAACATTAAAAATTCAGTCCCAGAAGTAGATCTGTCATAAACTTAGGAATAACTTAAAATATAAGGTAAATCAAAATGGCTTTTCAACTTTAACTAAAGTGGTCACAGTTATGATTGCTATAATAAAAATGACAGAAAAAAACTAAAATTGTCAAAAACATAATTGATGATGAAAACAATTGTAAAATTATGGCATATTTCACCCTGGCCACCAAAGACTCTTGATGAAACTGCAGCCCTATAATTCCCCAGAATGAATTCTTTAAATTAAAATACTTCATGCAGAACAGAAATTAAACAATGAATCAAAGAACAACACTGTACAGCAGTATGCTTATAAATATACCTAGCAAAGAGGAAACAATTACATATTTTCATGTAAAAATCAACTGGATTGTAATGTTTCACAGGAGGCTGAGTAAGTACTTTTCCCATTGCTTGCAACTTGGAATTTCATTTCCTGTAACTCCCGTAAGGTCCACAGTGACTGGGTGGAATGGTATTAACATACACACTGGCTTGCTCTGTCCTTTCTACAAAACTAGGTCCTCCATGCAACTGCACAACTGACTTTCACGATAAATTTCATCCAACCCAATTCAAATGCCACTCTGCATTTTATTTTAAATGCTTTACTTCGCCAGCTGGGTTTATTTAACTATTGACTAGAAGTGGTATGAGTGCACTCTTTTTCCACTTGGTATTAATCTTAGTAAACTTAGGTCTATCCGAATGTCTTAACTGCTGAGAAGAAAGCAAAAGTCAGCAAGCATACAATTGCATTTGGCTACCCTCAGCACATCATTTTATTTCCTCCTTCTCTCTGCTAACTATTGCTCAGCACTTTTGCCTAAGAGGGAGGGCAAGCAGGTAGTTAAGGAAGTTGTCCTGTCAGCTCTATCTTTAACCCAAGTGTTTAAATCTCTGAATAAAAGCAAAATCAATATTGTAAAGGCAATGTTTGTCAAGGCCATGTAATAAATACACTTACCTTTACAGACTGCTCTCAATGGATTTCCCTTCTTTGCTGAGCTTCAAAGCTACAAAGAGATAAAAATGAAAGCACTGAGTTATCTGCAAGTAAAACACAAACATTTTCTCTCCATGTTTCTAAGTGGAATTTCCATATGCCACGGTATGTGGTGCTAGCCAAATAAACCATTGATAAAACTGTGCCTCACACATCCGCAAGAGAGGCCAATAAAAGACAGACATAAACTAAAACTGGCATACACATCTACCCATAATTAAATCACACAAACCTGGCCAGCTCTACAGTCAAATCTTTTGGGGTGTGAACTCAACAGAATGGGAACAGCTTATAAAGTGCAAAGATGAAAATCAAATTAAACATTACGCAGTACATTCAATCTGACCAAGCATTTTATTCTCTTACTTCTTTTGTCATCATCTTGCACACTCTATTTCCATTTCCCTGAAAAAGTTTTACTTGGGGAAGCCTACTCCACTTATATGAGTTGCATGGTCCTCCCCATGCAGACTTCACAACTTGCTCCCATGAGTACACATGTGCAAGCTTACAGGTACAATCCCCCTACCTCTAGGCAGAGCATGGTCTTCTCTCAGTAGAGAGAAACTCACAAAACAGAGGAAGTCACACTAGACATTTCAAATGAAATCTCGACATGTTAAATTAAACTTCATGTAACCAAAACATACTATGCACTGACCACAAGCAAGTTGGCATGATAAAGATGGTCTAAACTGCAGCTGTTAAGCTGTTAAGCTGTTACTGTCATCCTCCCTTCGCCTCAGTTTCACTTCCCCATTTCAGTTACCCGCAGTCAGCCATGGTCCAGCAGCAGGTGATCTTCCTTCTGATAAGTCATCAGTAGGTCAGTAGGGCCTAATGCTACGCCCCAATGCCTACGTCATTCACTGCACTTCATCGCATAGGCATTTTATCACCTCACATCATCACTAGAAAAGGAGTACAGTACAACAGATATTTTAAGAGGCAGAGAGACCACACTAACCTTTTATTACAGTATATTGTTATAATTATTCTATTTTGTTATTAATTATTTTTGTTAATCTTTTATTGTGCCTAACTTATAAGCTTTATCATAGGTATGTAGGTACAGGAAAAAACATAGTATACATAGGCTTTGGTACTATCGGCAGTTTCAGGCATCCACTGCGGGTCTTGGAACATGTCCTCGACAGATTAGGGGGTGCCTACTGTAATACTCCTTAAGGGTGCAAGTGGTCGATTCTATAGCAGTCCAACATTATCATATGGTGACTCAAAAGCCAAAAAATAATTGGAATAGGCATCATTTGCTCATCTTGGCTAGGTCCGAACATCTCCTAAAGGTACAGTAGTTGAAATGGCCAACCACTCCATGATTTTCACATAGTTCTTTTTTTTCCTTCAAAAGCCTAAGTAACCACTGTAGCCCTTACTGGGCTATTTCCCTCAATCCCCCTGCATCTCCCTATCCCACCAAAGAACCTATTCCCACTGATGCATGGTCACCAAAGAACAAGGCCAGACTTCTGTCTGTAATGTAAATCTTAGAATATTATTGCAGGAGGTCAGACCCCTCCATGGGACAGCATCAGAAACATCTCCTAACCCCTCTGTTATATTAATTACAGTAGAGTTGAGGGAGGACTAGTTAAAAATAGTATAATACTGCATTTTGTAAAATCTGTGAGATTTATGGTCTGATAACAGAGACTGAGCTGTATTCCTTTCCACTTTTAACACACAGAAATGTTAAACAATATATAGTTAAAATTATACATATACACACATATGTATGTTATGTATCTCCAAACTGCCAAGCTCAAAAGAAAGGGAGAAAATCAATATGAAAAGATAATGAATGTAAATTTTCTAGAATGAAAGACATGAATCCTCTTAAGAAAGCCCACCAACACCTCAACAAAATAAATAAAAGCAAATCTACACATAGATACATAAGAAAGAAACCACAGAACACCCGAGTTAGACAAAAAGTCTTAAAGTCAACCAGAGAGAAAAAAACAGGCTCCTTGCAAAACAACTTGTCATCAGTAAAAATAAAAGCAAGACAGCAATGAAATAACATGTTCAAAGTATCAAAAGGAAAGAAAAGTTCAGTGAAAATTCTACAGCCATGTTAAACCTATGATCATTCAAGAATGACAGAGAAATAAGGGCATTTTTCAGAAAAGACCATTCCCTGCTCACAGTAGTTTACTTTTGCTGAAAGAATTACAAGATATACTTGAATAAGAAGAAATTGATCGCAGATGGAGGAAAGGAGGAACGAAAAGTAATGGCAAACAAAGAAATTAGCAAGCATGATTGTAAATCTAGTAATTTAATAATAAACAATGGGTAATGAATAATTATTATTAAACTCTGGTTATAAAAAGCGAACAACAATAGTAACAGCCAATCTTTAGGTTTTGCAAATAAGATGAAATAAGTGATTGGCTACAAACATGGACAAAAGGGAGAGGGAATGAATTGTTTAAGAGGAAGAGAGAAACACTGATTAAGTTGTTAAAGATATGCATTAAAACTACAGATTAACTTGTTAAGGATAACCAGCATTTCTTTCTCTATGTATATAACCAAAGATACCCTTGCATATATGTTCACAGAGATGCATGCAAGTTTAGAGCATCACTACTAGAATGGTAACAACTGAAAACAACCCAAACATCTTCAGCAGTGCAATGAATAAATTCATTTTTATAGACTGTTACAACAGAATGTAATACAGCTTTGAAAAAATCGGTGACACAATTATATACATCAACATGTATGCCTCTCAAAAATATGATGTACAACAAAAGAAGCAAATCACAGAAGAGTTAATAGACCATTCCGTACAAATAACGTTCATAAAGGCAAAAAATAAATTCTATCTTATTTTGGAATATTAACATGTTAATGGCAAAAACTGTAAAGAAAAGCAAGGGAAGATCACAGAATTCAGCCTATGTTTATCCTGAGGGCAAGAGAGGAGATACAATGGGGAGAAGCATTGGGGAGAGTCTGGAATATGGTAATGCTCTATTTCTTGGCCTGAGGACAGGTATCTGGATGTTCAGTTTATTATGTTCTTTAAACTGTAGACATATACTTACAAAAATCATTCTGTACATATGCTCTATTTCACAATGTTAAAACATAAGCATAATCACTAAAAAACTAGAAATGTCCCAACCAATGGAGGGAAAAATACAGAAACTATAAAACTCAATCATTTCTCTGTGAAAGACTGGTATAGATGGGATAAAGAAGCAAAAGAAAGCACAGTGAATAGAAAACACAAAAGAAAATATTTAAAGTAAGTTCAAATATGTCAGGAATCAGGATAAATGAATTAAATACATCTGCTAAAATTTTTTCTAAATAAATTTTTTTAAACCTTGCTATGTGATGTTTATAAGAAACACATCTGAAACATAGAATGTCAAAGGAAAAGTATAGAAAACTATACACCAAGCAAATAGGAAGCAAAAGACAGATGGTGTCATTAAGTTAATGCTAGGCAAATAGAAGTTAGCAATGATAGAATAAGTATTTGCATCGACTATCGTACATAATGTACTACCAGAGAATTAATGACTAAGAAATAGTAATTTTTTCTCTCTTGTGGTTTCTGTGAAACAGGAATTCTGACAGGGTACCATAAGCCAACTTTCTATATGCTACAATGTCTGAGGCCTCAGCTGGAAGACTTGAAAGCTGGAGGCTGGAATTATCTAAAGGCTCATTTTCTCAAATGTCTGCCAGTTACTGCTGAGGGTTAGCTGAGACTGTAGCTGGGACTGTCAGTTGAAATGCCCATTGTGACCTCTCCATGTTACTTGAGTCTCATGACAACATGGTGGCTGGACTCCCAAGGCAGGAGTTCTCAGAACAAGAGTGAGGTAGAAGCTGTATTCTTTAGGCTTGGAAGTCACATGAAGACCAAATACACAGCACTCCACTGGCCAAGGATTCAGTCACAAACCCCCAACCAGGTTAAAGGGAAGAGAACAAAAACTCCATCTCTCAGCAGGAAGAGTGTCAGTGTCTTGCAACACAAGAAAGAGCCCATGACCTGGATAAATGTGTTAGGGAAACCACCTTTAGAAAATGCACTCTGCCACAGCATTCTTTACAAGTGCACATGGAACATAAGCAAAAACTGACACAGCAGCAAGGTGGTCTCAACAAGTATCAAAAAATGCATATCAAAATCCTCTAATCACAGTAAAGTTAAAATACTATGAAATGAGATTTTTTAAATGTATTTGAAAATCACAATATTTATGACAGTTTTCTGAGTTGAAGTTCAACAGACCATTGAATGAATCAAATCCTGCTGGGTCAGAGTCCACAGGAGTCAAAGATCAAGTTTGGTTGTGGATATATTGAATTTGAGGTGCCTTAGAGATATATTTCTACAAGAAATATCCAAGTAGGGAGTTGGATGTATATGCCTGTTGCTCAGAGAGGAGGTTTGGAATTGGGGAGTTATCTGTTAGGTAGGAAATAACATATGTGAGTGTCTGTCTAGGAAGACAGTACATGTTAGAAAGAAAAGAAGGTCTGTGACCGACGTTGGAGGAAGTTCAACATTTTATAGTTGTGTTGAGGAGGGTGAAGCCCATATAGGAGAGAGAACAGTTGCCAAAGAGAGAAAACAAAAACCACAAGTGTCACAGAAAGGCCAAGTGACGTAAGTGCTAAAAATGCCCAATATGAAGGTTATTGAGGAACTCAACGAGAACTGTTTTGCGGACTAACTGAGATAGAATTCATTTTGACATTGGTGAAAAAATATAGGGAAGTCTTTAAGTTGAAGACGAAGAAGAAGGACAATTCTAGATACATTTGGGTGTGAAGGGGAGGAGGAGAGCAGCAACTGGAGGAGGACAAAGGGCCAAAAGAGGATTTCTTCGTGTAGTTTGCAAACAGAAAAACGCCTGAATATGTGTCAAGATGATGAAAAGATCCATTTGAGACTAAGGGACTAAAAGCAGAGGAGTAAGAAAGGATAGCCAGTACTGAAGGTTCCCAGAAACTCAC